GCAGGCTGCTGCCACTGTTTTTTCTTTAACTGAAAACATTATTATGGTAATTTTTAGCAGGAGAAGAAACAAATTCATGGCTTAGTCAGGATGGATATGATTCTTGACATGCCAGAGAAATATCTTACTGGTATGAAATGAAAAGAAAGCCAAACATTAAAGAACAAGCACAAGATTTCATATATGAAAAAGAGAGGTTTTATTTAGTTCCCAAGATCCTAAGCACACTAGTGCACTTCATTTTTCAGAAATAGTCCTACGAACAACTTTTTTAAGATTAGCCTCTCATAGAGAGTTCCTGGAGGTTCCTCCTTATGCAGTGGCACCTGGAGCTGGACCAACAGAGTCCTCCATAGCGTCTCCTTCAGCATTGGCATCCTCTTTTTTCTTCTTGGCCTCATTGTCTCCTGGCTGACCAAGGGGAAGCCTCTTACAGCCTCTGAGTGCTTCAGCCTTGAAGTGAGATACTATATGAGCAGTGAAATGTGGTGCATAATTGAATACACAGTTGCACCCTGGACATTCATAGAGAGCTCGTTTGAGGCAGTGAGCCCTGATAACATCATCCACAGGATTAGCACGAAGGTCAGAACTTTGCTGAATTGCCATGGAGAAGGCTCTGAGGTGAAGAAGCAAAGTTAAAGGAGTTCTTATAGCAGGGAAATTATCTTTCAGTTACAATGACTTTATTAGGCCATGCCAGGCAAAAGCCAGAAAAAGGAGTAGTCATTAATTCTAGATAACAGAGAATCTGGCTACTTTGATAAATATGGCAAAAAATGATCATGAAAAATAAAGGTCTATTTACTTCTCCTTGTCATTACATCAACAGAATGCATCCCCCTGGGGTGAAGAATTAAATGGTCTAGAATTATCTTTTCTTTTGAAGTTGAACACAAACCAGCAAACATCAACTTCACATGTAAGATAAAACAAGTTGAATTTTCCTCAGAAAAGTTTTCTTTGTGGCAATGTTTAGAACTATTATGCTTGCAAATGAATGAGAATATATTCAAACCATAGGCTAAATTAAACTTTCTAGGAATTATATATCAGCAACCACTCCATATGTCTTTTTTTTTTGGTTGGAGTGGGGGGTGTTTGATCTTTACTTTTCTGACGCCATGGTAGCTTAACGACGTTGTTCCAATTCTTAAATCCTCTTCCTTGAACATTGCATAAAAATGCATTTTCAGTTTCATGTTTCATTAGTTAACATTTAACGATGTTCTGATAGCCGTTAAATTTACTTTCTAAATTCTTAAAAAGAACGTGTTAGGTAATAACGGCTTTTCCCGCGAATTGCATATGGCAACTAAAATTTAAACCTTATTTTGTCTTCAAAGATTATACAAGGTAATTAAACTTTTTTGCACAAAATACATTTTCTGTCAGGACTTAAGAGAGGATAACTGGTCAAGGTATAGACTTTTTTCAAGACAAGGTCACATAACATAACTGTGAGGCCATGAAACCAGCAAAAGTGAATGTTGAAGATCAAATTTCACTTCTATACAGACTTGGGGACTAAAAAGATAATTCATCCCAGAAAATGTTTGCCATAGAGATTCATATTCATAAATAATTTCATTCATAGTTCTTATCATATCAAAATGATGATACGAAAAAAAGGGAAAATCCAAAACTTGACTAACAGATACTAAACTTTTTTCCTAAATGAAAGAAATTAAATTTTGTTTTCCTGCTTGATCTTAAAACCAAAGTTGTTGCCCCATGATCATGAACGGCCTACATTTCCAATCTTATTCTGAGCTCCACTCTCCTGATCAACCTTCACAACTATATATCTCCTTTTAATTTCCTGAAGCAGCCTGCCTTCCCCTCTTGTTCAACCTCTTCATTTCTTCCTCGTCAGGACAGACAGAGAGTCCATCAGTGGTTTCAGTGATACGGAAACGTAAACCTCTGCTCCTTGCCTCAAGTCTTTTCCTCTTTTGCTCAGCAGTTTCTTCATTCCTGTAGTGCGTCAACGTATGAGATGCAAAATGTTGGGATGTAGGGAAGATGCGCCAACATTTAGGGCACTTGTATGGACCATACAGCCCGTAAGAAATACCATGTGTCCTTCCATCATATCCAACACTATTATCATCAGATTCATCAACCTCTTCCACCTGCTGGCTAGATTCTCCGTTCATCCTGTTGCTAGGACCACCAGCCCCGGCCACATTAGGCTTCTGCTCAATTTCTAGAAGCTCGATATTGCCTGAGATTTGTTGACCTCCAGGATGATCTTCAGGGACGTAGACACTTACTGGCTCTGGATCAAGAACTTCTTTTGGTACTAGTCCCAAAGACCGGTTGTCCATGACTGACAGTCGATTATTAAAATTTTGGTTCACCAGCGCCTGTCTAGTCAAAGGCGGATCATCCATGCCCGGAATTGAACCAAGAAATTGATGAAAATTACGTTGGACGTTCGAAGAGCTGGCTAACATGGATTGGCTCCTGGGCTCATTTCTCATAGAATTATAATTATTGTCACGACGAGCCAGAGCCAACTGAAGGCGGTTGGCCGTGGACGTGGAGTACTCATAAAGAGCCTCCCCGCGACTTATGCCAGAAGGTTGCAGATGCAGAAGGCGGTCTGCAGTGGAAGTTGGCGTAAGAAACCTAGTGGTTTTCACCTCCGTTATATAGACCTCGGTCAGACCTGGATAGTACTGATGATTACAACGATCGGCAAGTGTGTGAACACTAACCCTTGGCTGTCCAATGTATGGCATTCTAACCCCAGTCGTCATAGCAAGCTGGGCACTGCTAGTGCCACTGCCAAAATGAAACGTAGGATACTGGTTGCTTTGGAACGGGTTGTTTTGTGGTAGAAGTAGTCCAGTGGTAGGACTAGAAGGACGAGGAATACTAGAATTAATCAAGTCGTTCCCATTAACAACCCCATTAAGGCCAGACCCAAGGTTTGAGTTGAGAAAACGAAATTTAGAATCCGAAGCACCAAACCCAGATGGGTTGGAGAAGGAAGAATTGAACATAGCCATATGGTGTAGAGTGGGGAGAAGGGAGAAAATGGGTGCAAAATTACAAGGGATGTGACGAATGAACATGGAGGCTAGATTATTTGGCCTCCTTTTATAGCTGAGAAAGGTGATCCCCTAACGAGTAAAAATGAAAGGAAAGGAATGCACAGATCCAAGATTTGAATGAGTGCCAGAAAGGATAGTGATATTTCTTGGCAAAAGCTGAGGAGGACAAAATCTGGCGAGTTCGGAAAAATATAGTAAGAAGTTCAAAAAAAAGAAAAAAAAAAGAAGAAATACATGGTAAGAAAAGGCATGAAAAACGTGGCTCCTAAATGAATTTTCTTTTAATAAATGAGTTAAATAACTTAATAATAATTTATTTTTTGTAAAAATAAAAAATTTTAAATTTAAATTAAATGATGTAAAAATATAAAATAGATTAAAAGATATTATAAAATTGTCTCATTGTACAAATCTAAAATCAAGAAAATAAAAAAGAGATTTTTTTCATTTTTATCTTCCATTGTTGTAATGGAATTGAACTCCAACAACGTCGTCCTCGGTGAATGCCTACTGTGGATCGGAGGAGCGTGGAAATGTAAATTTATAACACTCAAATTTCATTACTTTTTTATTTTGGAAAAGCATTTTTGTTATGACAGTTCAATAATGAGAGATGAACAAAGGTGTGGGTTCATAATGGAATTTTAAAATTTTCCTTAATTGAATTTCAAATTTATATTTACTTGGTATGAGAGTTCTATTTTTAAGAGAGAGCAAATGAAGAAGAAAAAACGAGTATTCATGAATTTATTAGTGTTAAAGTGAACAATATGACTTAGTAGGCTGAGAAGGCAAAGTTAATTTAATACTCGCAAGTTAATTTCAAATATCACGTAACTTTGTTCTATGGTGGTTGATAGATATTGCAACACAGCTATATACGACCAATTTATAACTACTGGATTTCAGACGGTTGTCGAAGGAAAAAATTCATGAGAAACCACAAAGATGTTGATTATTGATTCATGTGGATCCTTCAGGCATCATCTGGGAAAGGAAAGTGTTGGACCAAATGGACTCAGCCTTTTTTTTTTGCCCCATTATTTTCAAATGAAAAATAATTGATATACCTTTTAATTTAATATATTTTTTGATAGGAAAATAATGTGTGCACACCCGGATTCAACACCCGGGTGTACACACTCCAAAAAAAAAGGGAAAAATGGAACACCCGGGTCTCTTCTTTTTTTTTTTTTTTATGTGGAGTGTGCACACCCAGGTGTTGAATTTGAGTGTGCACCAATCATGGTTTTTTTTTATATTTATCTCGGTTAACTATTAAAATATAATATAAATATAATTAATTCAACTAATTTTTATATGTTGTATATATAATTATATCTTTAAATTTATTTATATTTAATTTCATATAAAAAAATAAATTTTTCATAAATGTATTATACAGTACGTTGAATCGAAATATTTATTAATCAATATCATTTCCATGTATCATAATTTTTTATTAAATTTTTAGTTACACTTTGATTCTTATTCTTAGAGAGGAGATGAGAGGTAATTTTGTTCAACTAAGGGTCTGTTTGGTACAACGGTTAAAATTCAGCGGATAGCGGATAGTGGGTAGCGGATAGTGGATAGCGGTAGTAGCTAGTGGCTAGTGGGTGACGGTTAGCGGATAACGGATAGCGAAAGTGGGTAGTGGATGGTAAATAGCGAATTCGATAAATATAACTATTTGGCTATACAATAGTTAACGGTTGTTATTTAACATTAAATTACTAATAAGGACATGTTTAAAAATAAATAAGTGTATTTTTTAAATATTTTTATTATTAAAATTATTGATTTTATAAAAATTTTTATAAAAAAAAAAATAAATAAATAAAATTAATTATAATAATGTAATTACAACCTCATTTTTATTTTTTTTAAAAAAATATATTATTTTTAAATAAAAAATTAATCATTTTGTCTAATTAACAATTTTTTTAAGATAATATATTTTTTAATTATAAATTAATGTACAAAAAATATTATAATCACTTAATGTTATTAAAGGTAAACAACAAAATTGAAATTTATTAGATAAATATTAATTAAAAAATGTGATAAAAAATTAAAAAATTAAAATGGATAAATTGGTAAATAAAATTTAAAAATTCTAATCTCCTAGCGGTTTGGTACAAAAAACTACATAAACTAACTTTTTCAATTTGCTAGCGGTTTGGATTCTAACCGCTATCCGTTAGTCTCAAACCGCTAAATAAAAATTTTACCAAACACTTTATTTGTAACAGTTTCGAAATATATAAGTTTACTAAACACCTATATTTAGCGGTTTAGGTAAAATCGCTAATCGTTATCTCAAAACCGCTATACCAAACAGGAGCTAAATTAAAATATACGATCAATGTCATTTTTTCGTTTATGATAAGTGGGTCAATGTGAATTTTTGATTGAACCAAATAATCTTATCTTCACGTCCCTCAGACTAAATAGACCCTTAATATTACCATATTCTTTTTTTATTCTTTAGAGGAAAGGTAATTGTAGTATTACCATATTCAGAATGGCATGTAATTTTACACTGTCATTGCCAAATTTGTTACATAAAATGATAAGAATTGAAAACTTGCCATACAATATAAATGGCCAGACCAGCCCCAGGCATAAATGAAATATAAATAACAAATAAATATTTAATACACAAAATTAGAGGGGACATATAATTTACCATATTATTTTTGGATAGGGATGGGCAAATATTGGTTTTGGTTAAAATTGAAACCGATATTTGATTAACTAAATTTTTTTGGTTTTAATTTTTGAAACCAAAATCAAAATAGATAAAAAATTTTAGCTTAGTTATTCAAAGCTTTGGTTATTATAAATTTGGTTTCAATTTTAATCAATAGTTATCAAACATAAAAGTAAGATAAAAGTTGGCATTGTATCAACACTAGTGAAAGAAAAGTGATTACATGTGGTGTGGGTGAGATAAGATTTTTAAGAGATGTAAATATAAGAAAATGTAAAAAAGATGTATAAAAAAGGGTAAAATATGAATTCTGAATCTTATTTTTTTACTTTTGAATATACTTTAAATTCACATCTTAAATTATAACAAAATTTATTAGGTAACGCTTGATAATAAGATTGAATAAGATGATTTAAATTTCTTTATAATATTCAAATAATTATTATTAACTATTTGGTTACATAACTATTTGTCCCGTCTTATTTTGAATACCTATAAGAAAAGGCTTTAAAAATAGAATTATTTTACCAATATTTTATAGAAGCTTCGTATACTAATTTTTTTGGTGTTTTTAAAGAGTGTTTTAAGTGATTAAGAGGTTAAAACTTCAAGTTGAAGATTTTAAATTTAAATCTTGAAATTGATGGAAAGAGATTAAAAGAAGAGAATGATTATTTCTTATTTTATAATCAATTATCTAATATACAAAAAAAAAAACCCACTCATTTTTTGATAACTAGAATAATTTTTAAGTATAAAAAAGATATTTAAAAATGTTATTCATAAATAAAATCACTTGAGCTAATTTATAAAATAGAAATGATAAATGTAAATTGTGCAATGTACAATATAACATAACATTGCAATTGTTGCATTGCCATTAAATAAATGTTAAATCCTCAATTTGGTCCTTAAACTATTGTACAGACCCTCGATTTGGTCCATGAACTAAAAAAATCCCTAATTTGGTCCCTAAACTATTGTACGAATCCCCAATTTAGTCCCTACTGTTTATTAATTTGCCCCGAGTTGATCCTTTTGTACAAAAACAACTGACATGTCTCGTTATTAACGTGACATATGGTTGTTAAGTTACTGTTTTATACCATTAAGTTATTGTTTTTCACCGATAAATACTAGACACATCAGCTTTTTTTTGTACGAAAAGACTAATTTGAAGCAAATTGGTAAATAGTAAAGACCAAATCGGGGTCCGTACAATAGTTCAATGACGAAATCAGAGATTTTTTTAGTTTAGGGATCAAATTGAGGGTCCGTACAATAATTCAGGGTTCAAATTGGGGATTTAACCTTAACTAAATGGCTAACTTGAGTAGTTAATCCAGTTGGTATTCACTAAATATAAAACCATGATTTGAAGTCAATTCAGAAATTTAAACCAACAATATCAAATATTCGGCTATTTGAGTCATGCCAAAGGTTCGGATAATTATGTTATAAGTAAAAAAGAGAACCCTAATTAATAAAATTTAATATTTCTTAAAAAAAAAAAAAACTAAATTTTCAGAAGGAAAGACAATCAATTCCTGCAAGCACATGCCATAAGACAACTAAACAAATTTCTATATACAGCGAAGTTTTTTTTTTTAACTCATTAAATCATAATTTTTTTTTATCATCATTTCCACTATTTGGCAGCGTCTAATTTCTTTATTTTGTCCTAAATTTCAGTATATATATACATGTTACACTTTGGTCTACCTTCACTTCTGCCTCTTCCCTCCCCTCCTCACCATTTTGCAATGGATGATCCAAACCCATTAGAGAATGATCCCCAACGTTACTGTGAGGAATGGTTCAACATAGCCTTCCTAACAGGCAAAGAGTTTCAGCTCCCAAATCTCTCCCCTACTTTGATCACCAACTGGTTGATGGAAAGTGCGCCGAATACCACACCAAATTTTCTTCTCCAGATTCCTCCCATCCAAACAAATCATCCGGAAACTGATCAGAATGTTGCTTCACACAACGAAAGCCAGTCTCTTTCCCTTCCTAGCACTGTTGTTGCCCTGAATGACAACATTGCTAATTATCCATCTAGCTCAACAGATATCTCTTCTTCCATTATTCCTACCAGCACTCAGGTTTCAGTTCACACCACTTCCACGCTACAATCCAATGCCCTGGTTCCGGTGAGAAGCCAATTCATTCCCCGTTTTCCGTTCCGGTATGGCTTTTCCTTCGCCAGTTCTCTAATTACTAGCCTGAACTTGGGAAATTCCTGGATTGGTAGCTTTACCAGTGGAAATGGATGTACCATTTTAACTACTAGAAGAACAGACACCCCTGAAATTTTTTCTAGAAATACAAGGATTTTAGGTCCTGGTTTCAATTTTCTTACGGCAGATCAAGAAATCCAACACCCATTTGAGGTAAGCTCATATAATTTCAATCCAGGACCCCAAAACTATGGTAACAATCGTCTTTTTGGCAGACTAATTGAAGGGTCACGTAATTCATCGGCACTACCAACGGTACAGAGAGCCCTGGAAGGAGCAGAGAAAAGGAAAATTGATGAACATGAATTTAGCCTAGAAAAAACAGAATACAAATGTTTCGTTTGTGACTTGACATTTCCAAATGGTAATGCATTAGGAGGGCACATGAGTTACCATGCCAAGAAAAGGAAGCTGGAAGCCATGAAAGCAGGGGTTTTTAAGGCAGAAAGATCGGTAAGGATGGAGAACGAGAACGACAGGGAGGAGGAGTTTGGAGATGGGTCCACGGTCAATTAGAGAGTGCGTCCGCTTCAACCTAAACCACCGCCGTGGGAGAGATTTCAAGGGTGCAGCAACAAAAGAGGAGGCAGAGTTGGTCGTCGAGGCAGAAGGAGAAACAGAGTTTTTCAAATTTTCGTCGTTGTGTTTGTTATAGTTACTAGCATTTGATTTAGATTAGTTTTGGAAGGAAGCATAACCAGGTCTTCATGGACTAGATTTGATAAATTAATCAAGATATTGGTTCTTTAGGCAAAACCGTTGTTAAAGCCCCTTTAATAAATTTGTTGTTGTGGAGTTTTGTTTTTGTAGCAAAAATTTGAATAGTCAAAATTAGTATTAGTAGTAATTAAAAACTAAAACAAACATGAAAATATTATAATTATAATTTTACGTAAAATTATGAATTTATAATCATAATATGATATTAAATAATTGTAACATATTATTAAATAAATAAATACATATTATATTACAAGTGAATTTTGAGTAAAAAAAATTTATTATATAAAGACGTATTATATTATAAAGTTATAATGTCACAATATTGTAATAATATCATTTTCCAAACAAAAATTAAAAACTTGCTAATTACAAAATTTTCAAACTAATAAACAAACAATAAAAAAGAAAATTGATAAACAAAATTAAAAAATTTTAAACTATTAATTTTTTTAAATTTTAATCAACAATATTATAATTATAATATTATATAAAATTATAAACTTACAATTATAATATGTCATTAAATGAGTATGATGTATTATTAAATGAATAAATATATATAATATCATTGATGAGTCATTGAATAAAAAAACAAATTATATAATAAATTTGTTGTTGTGGAGTTTTGTTTTTGTAACAAAAATTTGAATGGTCAAAATTAGTATTAGTAGTAATTAAAAACTAAAACAAACATGACAATATTTTAATTATAATTTTACGTAAAATTATAAATTTATAATTATAATATGACACTAAATAAGTATGACGTATTATTAAATACATAAATACATATTATATTATAAGTGAATTTTGAGGTAAAAAAGTTTATTATATAAAAAATGCATTATATTATAAAATTATAATGTCACAACGTTGTAATTATATCATTTTCCAAACAAAACTAAAAACTTGCTAATTACAAAATTTTCAAACTAACAAACAAACAAAAAAAAAATGGATACATAAAATTAAAATTTTTTATACTATTAATTCTTTAAATTTTAATCAACAATATTATAGTTATAATATCATATAAAATTATAAACTTATAATCATAATATGTTATTAAATAAATATAATATATTATTAAATGAGTGGATGCATATAATATTACAAATAAGTCATCGACTAAGAAAAATAAATTATATAACAATACATTATATTATAAATTTATAATCACATTATTTTACTCAAATTTTAATTTAGTATAGTTAAATTTTTTAACAAAAACAAAGAAACCCGCCTCAAAAAGAAGGATATTCTTTTAAACTTTTTCCATATTTAGGCATAGGTACTTCAACTACTTTTTAAGTGAATAATTCTCTAAAGCCCTATATTGTAGCAAATTCAACCCTTATAGGTTACCACAAATTACTATTGATATAGATTAATTCTTTTGTATTACGAGATATTATATTAGCGATATTCTTATCTACTAATATAGTAACACACCAATGTATGTGACTCTCACTTATAATTAAAAAAATTAATTTACTACAATTTATTAATTATTTAAAAATAAGTGGAGACCACAATGTACATATATTAAAAGTGTCACTACATTAATGAATGAGGATATTGCTTACTTGTTATTTACATGTTACTCCCACTATATGAAAGAATTTCTCATGACATGATAATAACACACCACTAATAGCTATAACACTTAAAATTTATTTAATTTCAATTCAATGCGTAAAATTTTTACATTTTAAAAGAAATTAATCTCTAAACTTTAATTTATAGAAAAAAAAACCTTAGGGTCTAAACTTTAACTAAGTTTGGGTAAAAACTTAGACCTTTGAAAGATTAAGGATTAAACTACCAAGGTACCCACTAAATTTGAGAACTGATATTCCTTTTGCCTACTTAATTTTGTTGCGGATTTAAGAAAAAAAATAAAGAACAATCCCAGCCACCCTTTTTGGGCTTACTCAACTGCTGAGCATCAACCCAACAGAAGAAGCCAAGGTCCAATTTACAAAAGTTCAATTTTGCGTCCGAAGCTTAAAAAAAAAAAAAAAAAGAGGAAAAAAAGAAGAGACCTTTCGGAAATTTCTCAAAATTTAGAACCTTAACGAATAACTATAGTTTGGAAAAAAGAAAAAAAGAGTGAAAAGTGAAAATTAGAATGTAAATTAGTAAATGTTAGGATTGTTTTAAAAAAAGAGGAGGTTTAATATTTTAAAAAAAATAGTGTTTATTCATCTTATCTTTAAAAAATTAAGATGAATATTATTTTCAAATTAAATTATTTTAATAAACATCTATTAAAAAAAATTAAAATATCATATTTTTAAAACATGAATTAAAATATTTTTTTTTATCATTTTTCCTCTTAATTTTTTAAAAATAAAACGGACAAACATTAACCCTTTTAAAAATTAAAACAACCTATAAAATTGTTCAGATTTCCTTCTTATCTTCCTTTTAATTTTTTGCAATCCTTAAAAAAAAGAAAAAAGAAAAAAAGAGTTGGCTACTAAAACTTCTATATTTCTAAGCAGTACACAGTTCTAAAAAACAAGACAACTTCCAACATCGTAAATAATACAAATCAACGTGGTGATAACATATGAACTATCAGGGATGGTTGACTATTACAGACCATTATATAAACCACATTGCATTTTGTCACAACATAAGAAAACAACCTTTTTTCCCCTTTATTAGCATGCCACAGACACTCAATGGATATAATAGTAGCCAGATAGGATAAGAACTTGAGTAGTTTAAGCAAATCTCAGACAGCTGGGATTAGAACATGTTCCGGTACCAGAAAACACCTTTGTTAGGAGAATTTTCATCCGGCTCAACATAAAGGCATTCTTTTGCCTCTCTGCACATAGCCTTGTAGAATGGGGTGCCATCAAACTGGTAGTAGTTGCCCAGTACTGGTTTTATTGCTTCAGTAGCCTCCATTGCATGATAGTGTGGCATTGTTGAGAAGAGATGGTGAGCCACATGTGTATCTGTGATGTTATGAAAGACTTTGTTCAGTATTCCATAATCTCTATCAACCGTGGCCAGAGCTCCCCTTAGCCAATCCCATTCCGAGGAGTCATAGTGTGGAAGTGCAGGGTGAGTATGCTGCAAGTATGTGATCATAACAAGGAAGCCATTCACTATGAGTAAAGGTACCCCATAGATGCATATAAGCCAGGCCAGTCCTTCAGCAACAGCAATGCGGTACAGGACAAAAGTAGCTGCAAAGAGACTAGCATCAGAAATGAAAATTTGAAGCCTTTCGCGATCAGAGTATATGGGGCCATAGGGATCAAAGTGACAAGCAAAACGATTGTAGGGTCTGCCTGACACATTGAAAGCCAAGTATAAGGGCCAGCCAAGTATGAGTGTGACTGCAAGGGACACAAATCGACCAGGTGGATTGTTTAGGTATTTGGAATACCAAGGGACTTGTGACTTGGGTTTCGGTACAAACACCTCATCACGTTCTAAGGAACCAGTGTTAGAGTGGTGGCGGTGGTGACTGTATTTCCATGAGAAGTAAGGGACTAAAAGGGCAGAGTGGAGGATCAGGCCAACAGTATCATCAAGCCGTTGGTAATCACTGAAGGCATGGTGACCACACTCATGAGCAATGACCCAAACACCAGTGCAGATGCAACCTTGGAAAATCCAATAGACAGGCCAAGCAATGTAGGAAAGAGGGTTGGGGAGGAGGTGAAAGTAAGAGATGGCAATGTAGTAGAAGAGGAAGGCTAAGGAGAGGTCATAAACCAAATAGGAGAAAGATTGAAAGAGAGAGCGCTGAAAGCAATGAGGTGGAATGGCTTTCTTAATCTGGCTAAGGGTGAATGGAGGTTTCTCATATGGCACTCGCTGGAGAGCACTCCCATCTGCCTCATGCTTGCTGTGGGGGGCAGGCATTCTATTTCTACCACCAGCTCCCATTGTTCTACTATGTCTTTGTTCCCTGAGAACACAAATATATATAGCTAGAGAAGAGAATAATTCATAACATGAAAATAAATTATAAATCAACCATACACATCAATCCGCTTCCGTAAAGATACATACTACTGGCAATTTAATTGGTAATAGTACAATTATTGAACAAAATATAAAATGAGCGTGGTCCACCAATAACTAGGCACATCATGGGGGCTCCAACAGAGTTAAAGAACAACAGATTTTCTGCATATCGTACAGGTCCATCTTATATATAAGAGAAAAATTTGCAAATTTGCAGACCCCACATCCAATCTTTCATGAACAAAATGCCGAAAGATGATATTGACGTGGAAAAAAAAAATGTAATAATAATGCAGAGACCTTTCATTTCTGAACTCTGAATTACTTGTTTCCACTACTTGAACGCCAGGAATTTACAACGAAATTAATTAAATACTTTTAAGCCAAAGTGTGTTCTTCCTTTTTGTTTCAATTACACAGACGTGTGGGACTCGGAAGAATTGACAAGCTCATAATCCCGAGAAAGGTTGTTAAAACTTTTGAACTAGAAAGAAAACATCCTACCTCTCACTACAAGGAACAAAAACAAAGAGAATCAGACTATAAGATAAGGCAAAACTAAAATAAAAGGTACAAAAGGAACGGAATAGCAGTATAAATTAGAAAAAGAAATTGATATAATGGAATTAAAGAAATGTATATTAAAAAATAGAATAGAAAACAACATTTTTCTTTCCTTCCAAAGTTATTAATCCCATAATTAAATATTCCACTTTATTGGCTATAACATCATAGAATAGAATATGCTTTTCATGATCTTGCCCTTGATCTGCTAAGATTCCAAACATGAATAAAAATTAGTACTAAAAGTTTGATCTTGGAAGCGACTAAACATTAAACAATGTTATTGTCAAATTCATGATTTTTATATTACCATTGAAGAAATAAAAAAAGAAGAGGAAGAAGAAGAAGAAGAGGAAAAGAACCTCATCATTTCCCAAACCTTACCTCACCCCCTCTCCAAAAACTTAAAAAATTAGAAAGGAAAAGATTGTGTTCTTAAGTTCATTGCAGAGATGATAGATCCGTATTTTGATTGTGTAGAACAAAAAGAATCCCAACCCTTTACCAGGTAATTTCAAAGTTAAAGGGAGCATTACAAAAAACAGCAAAGCAGTTTTTACCAGTATAAAGCTAATGATGCTGAATGATAAAAGAGATATAACTTCGAATCAACTAATCAACATGAAATAGGAAAAAGCAATCACTGTAGAAATCATGCAAAAATCTGTTGCAAATCAATCCACATTCATTTTCTAGATCGGATCAAACACCACAAGATGACACTAAAAGAAGTAGCTTAAAAGCCAAGCACTTTCCATTCAAAAACACTTCTTTAGAAAAGCTAGCAATAACCCCACAGCAGAGTGCAAGCCACATTGCACCCAGAATCAAACAAAAGCTAAAAAAGAAAAAGTTTACGTTTTTACTGCAAAAATGAGATGGAAATTGAAAAAGAATGTACCTTGGAGAAAAAAAGCGGTTTCCTTTGGAAGCAGTTGGGGTAGAGAGGCGCTTTCTCACCTTTTCCTGGAGAAGTAGTGGTTGGGGTTGGGGTGGCTTTCTGTCGTTCACAGGAGTGCGCGCCTGTATTTTTAAGCAGAGACTCGGGGCAGGCGGTTCATTTATGGTGAGGGGTCCCACCTGATTACAATTTGGACGTAACCGGGTAACCATAGATTTCTCCCTGACACGAGCTCACATGCAACTGCTCTCACTTGACACCATTCTCATTCTGATTTCTTCCTAATTTTCTAAAAAGAAAATGATTTTCAAATAATTTTTTTATTTTTTAATATAATATAATAAATTATTTAAATAATTAATTTTTTAAATTTATATAAGATCTATTATATTAATTATATTTATTTATTTAACCATATATAAAAATTATATTAAAAAATAATATAAAAAAATTATCCTTGTGTTGTTCTTTCCAAAATCAATCTTGAGAATTAGCTAAATCTTTCTTATAAGCGATTCACCTAATTTTACATTTCAAGTTCTAGTTAGTGCGGAAGAAAATTAATTCTTTTAATAAATGTTATCTACGTCAACGTACTTTTAAAATTGATTGAATATCAATTTTGTCCTCTTAACTTTAAAGTTTTACATAATTTTTATTTTTTAATTTTTTTATATAGTTTTTTTATTCTCAAATTATGAAAAATGCACTATTTTAGTCCTTCTGTCAATTTGCACATTAAGTTTATTTAAATATACATATTTTTACTCTTTTAACTTAAAATTGAGGGACAAAAATATGTATATATTAAAAGTTGATGGATTTAATATACATATGTAGACAAACCTAATGAATTAATTGATGGAATGACTAAAAAAAAGTATTTTTCATAGTTAAGAGATAAAAAAAGTACATAAAAAAGTTAAAAAACCAAAAATGGTATTTAACCGTTAAAATTATTTATTTTGAAGAAACCATAATAACTAGAGAGTCATTCATAAGTGTAAACTTAACATTATAAAAACACTCTTGTTATCATTGAGTTTAAGTTTAGAAACAAGATCGGAGGCATACTTACTTGAGAAAGAAGGTAGCTATCATCTGAAAAAGTAACTTTAAGCCCCAAAAAATAATTAAAAACACCAACATCTTTCATCTCAAATTTTTAACTGAGAGATCATTTTAGTTAATTAACACCTACAATATCATCTTTAGTAATAATCATGCCATCAACATAAAGAAGTAAAAGAACCATACCTCTAGCAATCTTACAAATGAATAAAACTATATCATGTGGACTGGAAGTAAAACTAAATTCACTCACAATAGCATTGAACTTTGCATACCATGCTCGAGGGTATTGCTTCAAACTATATAATGCACGTCTTATCGACATGCCTTGTTTGAAGGATGATTGAGTCAAGTAAGTGGTTTTTATATAAACTTCTTCTTTTAGATCATGATTAAAAAAAGCATTTTTCACATCTATTTGAAATAATTTCCATCCTTATATAGCAACAATAACAAGTAAACTGCACATAGATGTGAGACGAGCAATTGGAGCAAATGTTTCCTCATAACTTATTCCACACTCTTGAGTAAAACCCCTGGCAACGAAGGGTGCTTTACAAGGCTTTACAGAACCATCGGATCACGTTTTGATCTTGTACTTCCATTTATAGCTTATCAAAGACTTTTTAGTAAGGAGATCGACTAAATCCCACGTATGAGTGTTCTCAGGAGTTTGTAATTCATCTTGCAAATGTTTCCTCATAGTTTATTCCAAACTCTTGAGTAAAACCCTAGCAACGAAGGGTGCTTTACAAGGCTCTACAGAACCATCGGATCACGTTTTGATCTTGTACATCCATTTACAGCTTATCAAAGACTTTTCAATAAGGTGATCAACTAAATCCTACATATAAGTGTTCTCAGGAGTCTGTAATTCATTTTGCATATCTTGTTGCCAAAGAAGATTGAAAGAGGTCTCTCAATATGATGGAGGCTCATGTAAAGAAGCAATAGCAAGAAAATAATGACCATCACGAAGGTAGCTAAGAGTGTTTCTTACTCGAGTACGATGACTTGAGGATAAGATAACAAGCTTATTTGTAGACTCAAAAATATCGGATGCAACATCAACCAGTTATATGGATGAAGAAGTAGAGGAAGACTCAAAATTATCTAACACATTACCAATAGGCAAATCATTTTCTACATAATTAGTTGGAGCTTGTGGTGAGGCATTGTAGAGCTCATCAGATGTACTTACATAAAAATCAGTAGGAAATAGCTCAACAAAAAGATTAGTAAAATATAGAGGTTAATGAAAGGATGACGCTTTGAAGTTTAACAACAATGAGAATATAGTGTGTTCCCAAAAAACAACATGACGTGAAACTTAAAATTTTTGTGATACAAGATCCTGACAATGATATCCTTTTTGTGTAATCCCATATCCCAAAAAACAACATAATCGAGCTCTTGACTCTAACTTGTTATGTTCATGAGGTGGAAGAAGAACAAAACATGCACAACTAAAAACCTTAAAAAGATCATAGGTAGAAATAACACCATGTAAATGCTCGTATGGAAACTAGTTATCAAGGATTGATAATGGAAGGCAATTGATAAGATAAATAGCTATAAGAACAACTTCACCCCAAAATTGTTCTAGACAAGAAGACGAAATGAGCAAAGCACGGACAGAAACAAAGATATGTCTATGTTTGCACTCGGCTTGCCCATTCTATTTAGAAGTGTAAGGACAAGATTGTTGTGTCATTGTACCCTATTCTTTAAGAAAAGATTGAAGTTTAGTACCAAGATATTCAATAGCATTGTCGGTTCTTAAAACTTTGATAATTTTAGAGAACTAGGTTTTGACCATGGTAGTAAAATCAATATAAAATTATGGTAATTCAAAGCGAATTTTCATGATATATATCTAGGTTAAACTAGTATGATCATCAATAAATAACACTAACTGGAACCCCCCATGGAAGGTGTAGGAGATGGATCTTAAACATCAGAATGCACGATATCAAAAGGAGCAGTAAAAAGAGAATGACTACTCGAAAATGACAAAGCTAGTTACTTTACAGATTGACATGACATAATACAAGGATTCACTCGGAACAAATCCTAATAATCCACGAGAGATAAGTGGATGAAGTTTACCGATTGAGGTATGTTCGAACTGTGAGTGCCACAACTGGAGAAGAAAAATGTTAGTAGTAGCACAGGCTTGTAAAATTTGTTGGTATAGAATTTGTAAAGACTTTAACTCAACAGCATAGAGCAAGGTTTGGATGAAGTAATCATTTGGAAATGATGGTGTATCCATTTTATGATGTGAAATATACAAATAATAGAGCTCAAACATATACCCTACCTTGCAATTAGTTCCAAGAAGTTATCCTGTTTGTGGGTCCTACACATGACAACCATAAGTGGAAAATGTTACTTCAAGGAAAAGATCACATAATTGACCAACAGATAGAAGATTACAACTAAGTTTTGGAATGAAAAGAGCATTTGGTAAAGTTAATGACTTTGTAGAAATATTGCTAATGTGACTAACATTCAAATGGAAACCATTCATAGAATAAATATTAAGAAATAAATTATTTGGTGACATTGAAGAGAAATGAGTAGTAGTTAAAGACATATGGTTACAACAACCATAATCAAAATACCAAGATTTGATACCTGGAGTAGCAAATAAGAGAGTAAGAGCATTAAAAAGATTAATATCACCCATTTTAGGGATTCATGGTTGACATTAAGTTGGTTTATCACTTTTTTGACAACCACAGTAAGATGAGTTACAGTCCTTTCAAAAGTCACCATAAAATCAATAAAACTCACAATATTAAAAAAAGAAATCTCTAAAAATATAAAGAAATAAATACTAAGATCAAAATAACAACTCAACAACATACCTCAAAAAGGGCCTAAGAATTAAGAATAAACAATCTAATTCATAAGAGAAGAGATTCCAATGACAGAGTTTCAGACTTAGAATTGATTTGAAAATTCAATTCAAAAACCAAATAGCGATGATAAAAGAGAAGAACTAGAGCTTATAATTTTAATACCATGTTGGGAGCAAAAATAAAAAAAGAATAAATATTTAAAGAAAAGTTTATTACTTTCTTATCTTTATTGTATATATAACGATCATGTATATAGATCTGTACACTAAAATATTCATAGATATAAAATCAATAGTTTAAATGTATATAATCAATTACAATGTGAACATAATATTCTAACATAAATATTAATATTTTAAAATAAATGCTAATATTCTAATAATTTAAAAATAAATTAATTTTGACATACACAAACCTAAAAATACTATAAATGTATGTTAAGGAAAAAACATTATAATTAATTTTTTTATTGTAACTAAACTGAGCATATTCTTTAAATGTTTGGTCTCTCATTAAACAAGTTCTTGCTAAATGTTAGATTGCTCCATCTAATATGAATAAAATTTCTCTCCTCCATCCCCCAAGATTGAAGTACCATATTTAAAAAGAATTTGCTCAGAAAGCTTACAATTATTGAGTTGCTAATAATAACTAACAATTGTCCCTCATTCCTCTATAATTATTCACCAAACACTTGCTAAGATGGAGCTTCGCATTTAAGAACGGAAGGAGTATGATTGAAAAAGACAGACCTTCGCATTAGCTGCCAACAAACGTGACTATAACATGATGCTGTTGCCTTCGATTTCCTTTTTTTTTTTTTTAACATCTAATAATTATGAATTATATAAAAAAAGATAATTCCTTCTTTTCTTTTTATCTCCCAACTTAATTCAAAATTCGAATTTCAAATCTTTAATTTAAAATTTTAAACTCTTACTCTTAATTTGGATTGGAGAAGTTGCAGAGGAAAAGAGGGAGACGAAGGGAGAGATAATTCCTTGTAATGTTTGGATTATTGATTTTAGTGGAGGGGAAGAGAGATAGGAGACGTAACCCCTCCACTCCTTCATTTTTAACCCCTCCAAAAAAGAGGGATTAAGAGGGATTGGCTTTATATATGTAATTTATAAAATT